GCAATCTGTTCCAACTGGAACGGATTAACCGGTTTTCAATTCATTCCTATGGGAAATGGTGTTTCACAGAACGATGTTTCACACAACGTTGATTTTTTTGGAACCAATTAACATCGTTGTGTGAGGCACCACTGTACTGATCCCCCCAATCCTATCCATATTGCCCTAGCTTCAACAGGTCTTATTCCAAGTACACATATGCATACAACTGCCATTTTAGTTTAGTATATGAAATATCACAGCATAGTGATTAGTTTCTCAACAACCAACTTTTGGAAATATTATTCTGCAGTCCCTGGCAGCTCAGTATTGCACTGTTTTAAGGTGGCCATCAATTATCATTGCCACCTTAAAATAACATATACTTATCCATGATCAAACCTGTAGCTATTTAACACGCCTAAGGACAGATCCTGAAGCTGAGGCTCCAATACTATGGCCATCTCATGAGAAGAGAGGACTCCCTGGAAAAGACCTTAATGTTGGGAAAGTGTGAAGGGCAGAGGGGAAGGGGACGACAGAGGATGAGATGGTTGGACAGTGTCACCAAAGCAACCAACATGAATCTGACCCAACTCCGGGAGGCAGTGGAAGATAGGAGGGCCTGGTGTGCTCTGGTCCATGGGGTCACGAAGAGTCGGACACGACTAAACGACGACGACATGGCATTAATAAAATAATGTGTTTCAAAATCTTTAAAAACAATCTGTGCCAAGTCATCATAAACAAGCAACAATCTTATTCTTCAATGTCTAGTTCCCCATCAAATATCATGCAGGATGTTAACTGTCACTACATGTTTTCGAAACTAACTTCATAGTTTAATGATGCACTGCATGAACCTTGCTACTTTCCTTCATATGTCCGAAATGGCCCATGATTCTGCTTCACTGGGCCAACCCAATATTTAGCATGAAAAGAGAGAAGAAAAAAATTCTTTCTTTCCATATTATGCATTTCTATGAACATTTGGATTGCCTTTTTTTTTTTTTGCAGCATTCTGAGATCTTCTGTACTAATTTAGAGGCAAACTGTGGCGAGCACACTGGAGCCTCTATTGTCTCAGGCCTCCAGGAGTGCTCACTCCTCTTCTCAAGTAGCTGCCACCAGTACAGTGGACCCTCTACTTACAGAATTAATCCGCATTGGAACAGTGGCTGCAAGTCGAAAAGTCTGTAGGTCGAATCTCCATTGACCTACAATGCATTGAAAACCGATTAATCCCATAACTGGCAGTTTTTATTCTATTTTTGTTACATTTTGGTTTTTTTTCAGGTCTGTAAGTCGATTCTCCGGCTGCAAATCGAATCTAAATTTTGCGGCCAGAGAAGTCTGTAACTCGAAAAGTCTGTAAGTCGAGCCGTCTGTAAGTCGAGGGTCCACTGTATTTCAATTTCAATATCAATTACTCAGAGAGACCAGTTACTTTAAAATTTAAACTTGTTTATTTGATCAGTAAAATTATATTTAAATCAACACTTGATAATCAATTTCTCTCACTTATTGAACTCACTAACACACAGCTTCTAACTCCCACTGATTTTCTGGCACACTGTCTCTCAGACTAACAGAACTCCCCCTCACATACTCCATACACTCCTTTATATCCCAGCCCCTCCCCCTTTTGCACCACCTTCCGTTCCCTCATTGGCTCCTTTTCCACTGCTCAGCTGTGACGGACAGGTGAGGGCAGGGCTGAACGCTACACAAACGTACCAAAAACTAGTATTCCACACATTATACAGCTGTAGAAATACTGCTTAAATGGCACATCACCTGTAGAGCTCTGGTTATTTGGTCTAAAACTAGGCAAAACAGAATTTATTATTTTTAAAAGGAAGCCCTCTCATACTGAGAAGTTTCCTACCCTGATGACTGGTATCTCCCCAGTGTTTCAGACAAAAATAATAATCATCATTGCTACCATCATCCAACCCAACTGCTAGAGATTTCTTCTAGATATTTCACTCAATATGCTTTCTTTTTTTAAAAAAAATTTTCTGTGTTTCGTGTCCAATCTCAAAATCACCTGGAACACTTTGGCCAGTAGCAGAATCCACAACAGTATGACCCCAGGGTAAAATTATGGGGGGGCCCATTCTAACTGTCATTACATTCTACTTGTGAAATGACCAGGGTGGTGTGAGTGGGTTCTCTATTACCTTGAGGAGTAATTCTTCCCGGGGAGACAAAAGAGGAGTCAGAATTGAAAATTAAAGTATTTTTATTAACAATTGGGTTCACTATTGGGTTCACTTCTTCTTCTTGGTTACAAACAACAGAACTTTGAACTGATAACTGGGGAGGGGAACTCTCCCAAAACCATAACATGGATTTTTCTTCATTCAAATCTTTT